AAAAAAAAAAAAAAAGGTGTTGGCAAGGTAGAGTGGGAGAAAATATTTGTAATACATAAAGAACTCTTATAAGTCAATAAAATAGGCAACATACTTTTAAAATATGGGCTGAAAAATACAGATATTTCACAAATGAATATCAAAAAGCCAGGGCTTAAAATTCTGATACACACCACCAAAAATCGATTAAATGATAACACTTTTTAAAAGTAAGTTTAATTAAAAGGCCAGGTGTAGTGGCTCACACCTGTAATGCTAGCACTCTGGCAGGCCAAGGTGGATGGATAGCTTGAGCTCACGAGTTCCAGACTAGCCTGAGCAAAAGTAAGACCCTGTCTCTACTAAAAATAGAAAAACTGAGGCAAGAGGATTGCTTGAGCCCAAGAGTTGGAGGTTGCTGTGAGCTAGGACACTCTGGCACTCTACCCAGGGCACAGCTTGAGACTCTGTCTCAAAATAAAGAAATGAATAAAAAAGTAAGTTAGTATAAGCACAGGCTACTTAAAAGTCAATGATGGCTTTAATTAACTGACTATATCAAGTACTATGCTCTCATACACTATTAGATAAAGTGTAAAGTAACACAACTATTTTGGAAATTTTTTTTTTTTTTAGATAGAGCCTCAAGCTGTCCCCCTGGGTAGAGTGCTGTGGCATCACAGCTCACAGCAACCTCCAACTCCTGGGCTCAAGAGAGTCTCCTGCCTCAACCTCCCAAGTAGCTGTGACCACAGGCACCCGCCACATCGCCCAGCTATTTTTTGGTTGCAGTTGTCATTGTTGTTTGGCGGGCTTGGGCTGGATTCGAACCTGCCACCTTAGGTGTACGTGGCTGGCGCCTTAGTAACTTAAGCCATAGGCACCAAGCCTGGAAAATGTTTTGACAGTAGATAACATTCAGAAAGTTGTTATAGTTATACACACTTTATATGACCCAGCAATTGTATTTCTGCAACCCTACATATGCAGAATGACTATATATGTACACCAAAAGACAAGTATGAAGACTTTCAGGACTGGGCCCAGTGGCTCACGCCTGTAATCCCAGCACTCTGGGAGGCTGAGGCAGGTGGATTGCCTGAGTTCACAGGTTTGAGACCAGCCTAAGCTAGAGCAAGACCTCGTCTCTAAAAATAGCCAGTCATTGGGGTGGGCTCCTGTAGTCCCAGCTACTCAGGAGGCTGAGGCAAGCGAATCGCTTAAGCCCAAAAGTTTGAGGTTGCCGTGAGCTGTACAACAAAGGGAGACTCTGTCTCAAAACAAACAAACAAAACAACACTTTTATAACTCAAGAAATCTTCTCCTACTCAAATTCTTTAGAGGTTTGATTAGGGATATGCATAAATGTAAATTACCACTGGCACGATATCTAATTGTTAACACATTTCTTTCATTCTGTCCTGTCAGAGTAAGAAGCTGAGTAGGTGTCATATCATTTCTCCTACAATTCAGTAATCTATGTTTAAATGTATGAAGAAGGTATAAATCACTACTTTCAGTTGGAACCAGTTAAGTACTATTGTTTATTGGATTCTATTTGATGAATTATTTATAATCACATTTTACTCCTCATTTTCAACAATCTTTATAAGATATCGTTTTGGTGACTACAAAAATGGATACACAGGGTGGTGCCTATGGCTCAGTGAGTAGGGCACCAGCCTTATATACCGAGGGTGGTGGGTTCAAACCCAGCCCCAGCCAAACTGCAACAAAAAATTGCTAGGCATTGTGGCAAGTGCCTGTAGTCCCAGCTACTTGGGAGGCTGAGGCAAAAGAATCACCTAAGCCCAAGAGCTAGAGGTTACTGTGACGCCACTGCATTCTACCGAAGGTGACAAAATGAAACTCTTGTCTCTAAAAAAAATAAAGAATGGATATGCAAATGTTGCCTGATTTACTGTATGTTCATTACAACTATTAGAAAACACATGAAAAATATGCTTTCTTAAACCTATTCACTGACTCACTAGTATCCTTAACATAATGTAAATACAGGTCAGAACATATTATCACCAATGTCTTCATTAAAAATAGGATAAATAAGAATCTGGATAAGAAGTCAAACTCTCAAAAGTGAACAGCAGAATGGTGGTTGCAAGGGGCTTTGGAGTGTGAGGGAAATGGGAAATGCTAGTCAAAGGGCACAAATTTGCAGTTGTAAGATGAATGAGTTCTGGGGATCTAACATACAATGTGGGAGAGAATGGATGTGTTAATTAATCTGATTGTGGTAATCATTACACAGTGTATACATGTATCTTAATCACATTGCATACCTTGAATATATTCAATCTCTGTTAATTTTTTTTTTTTTTTTTTGACTCTCGGTAGAGTGTTACAGCGTCATAGCTCACAGCAACCTCAAACTCTTGGGTTTAAGTGATTCTTTTGCCTCAGCCTCCCAAGTAGCTGGGACTACAGGCACCCACCACAATGCCTGGCTATTTTTTTTTTCCGTAGTTGTCACTGTGGTTTAGCTGGCCCAGGCTGGGTTCGAACCTGCCAGCCTTGGTGTATGTGGCTGGTGCCGTAACCACTGTGCCAAGCCAATCTTTGTTAATATTTTTTTGAAAGTAGAAAAAAAGATCTGGATGAACTTTCTGAGTTTGATTTAACACGATGTATAAGACGAATGATACAATCAAATCACAAGTTAAACCATAGGTTTCTAATAATTTAGAAGATATAACTAACATCACTAATATGAATTATATCCTCAGTGTATAAAACAAATAATATTATTGAATAGTCAGGTAATGAACAGTCACTTAACTTTAGTTAGTGCATGCTTTAACTTTGTGAAGATCCTATTTTAGAATGTACTATGAAGTAAAATATTAATAAATTACCACCCTACCAATCTGTATGCCTGGCTCAATGCTACTATAGTCAAAGACTCAGATAGCAGCCTGGACAACACAGCAACACTCCATTTCTACAAAAACTTTAAAGAAAGATTAGCTGGAAGTGGTAGCATGTGTTTTTAGTCTACAATACCCAAGAGGCTGAGGCAGAGAGTCTTCACTGAGCCCAGCTACAATTGTGCCACTTCACTTCAGCCTGAGTGACAGAAAGAGACCCTGTCTCTAAATATAAAAGAATAAAAATGAAATAGCCTCAGATAAATGTAGCAATAGTACAGTGCTTATAAAAAAATTTTACAAACCTCAGTTTGACTGAGGTTGCTGTGAGCTAGGCTGACACCACAGCACTCTAGCCTAGGGAACAGAGTGAGATTCTGTCTTAAAAAATAAGTAAATGATGGGCAGCGCCTGTGGCTCAAAGGAGTAAAAAATTTACACACCCACTAAAAGAAAGTATAGTCATGGTAGAGGAAGCAAGGAAAGACTAAAGGATATATAAAGACCACATTAAACTGTCATCTATTCATCAATACAGACCTAAGCCATGTACAGTCAGTTTTCACAAATATTTACCCTTGTTAGTCCCAACTGCTCTGTTTTCTGTTTCTTTCGTGGTCGATTTGAGGATTCCTCCATTTCATCTTCTTCTTCTGTAGGCACTGCATCATAGACAATTAATTAGATTCAATTTTAAAAACTTAGTCAATATTAACTGCAAACTAACTATATAAAATAATTCTTTTTTTTTTTTTTTTGAGACAGAGTCTCACTATATTGCCCTCAATAGAATACCATGGCATCATAGCTCATAGCAATCTCAAACTCTTGGGCTTAAGCAGTTCTCTTGCCTCAGCCTCCTAGTAGCTGGGATTGCAGGTGCCCACCACAATGCCTGGCTATTTTTTTGATGCAGTTGTCACTGTAGTTTAGCAGGCCCAGGCCAGGTTTGAACCCACCCCTCTCAGTGTATGTAGCTGGTACCCTAACCACTGAGCCAACAAAAGAATTCTTTACACTTCTAGGTATATAGTTTCTCCATGTTATCACAACTGGCTAGAGAACAGACATTCCTCATCATTTTGCTTAGCAGACTCTAATTATATGTAAAAATAATACCTGAAATACCAATCTTCAAAAAAACGTCAGGAAGTGAAAGAAAAAGCATATTAAAAAACTAAAACCTACCCAATTTGAAATCTCACTGTCTTTAAGATTATCATTACAAATATCATTTTACCATAACTATGAAAAATTGCTTAATACTAGTTCTAAAACAGATATGTATAAGTTACATTCATATAACGAAGGAGGGATTAATAAGGTAAACATATGACAAAAGGAGATGCATTTCAGCTATGTTTATTCTCCTCAACTATTTTACTTTTGTTTTTGTTGTTGTTGTTGTTGTAGTTTGGTCAGGGCTGGGTTTGAACCTACCACTCTTAGTATATGGGGCCACCACCCTACCTTTTTTTGAGACACAGTCTCATTCTGTGGCCCTGGGAAGAGTACCGTGACATCATCATAGCTCTCAGCAACCTTAAACTTTTGGGCTCAAGCACTCCTCTTGCCTCATTTTTTTTTTTTAGAGACAGAGTCTCACTTTATTGCCCTTGGTAGAGTGCTGTGGTGTCACAGCTCATAGCACCCTCCAACTCCTGGGCTTAGGTGATTCTCTTGCCTTAGGCTCCCAAGTAGCTGAGACTACAGGCACCTGGCTATTTTTTCTTGTCGTTGTTGCAGTTTGGTTGGGCTGGGTTCGAACCCACCACCCTTGGTATATGGGACCGGTGCCCCACTCACTGAGCCACAGGCGCCACCCAATACTTTCATTTATTTTTTTAATTTTTATATTTTTTGGCTGGGGCTGGGTTTGAACCCACCATCTCTGGTATATGAGGCCAGTGCCCTACTCTTTGAGCCACAGGCACTGCCCCCATTTTCTTTTTTTCAATTTTTTAGTGGTTACAGGGTTTTGTACTCCTGAGTTCAACCAATCCATCCACTTTGGCCTCCCAGAGTGCTAGGATTACAGGCGTGAGCCACCACACTGGGCCTACTTTTTTTTTTTAAGACAGAGTCTTGCTCTGTCATCTGAGATAGAGTACAATAGTGTGATCATAGCTTACTGCAACCTCAAACTCCTGGGCTCAAGCAATCTTCCTGCCTGAGCCTCCTGAGCAGCTAAGACTACAGGCATGTGCCACCACACCAGGCTAATTTTTTTTTATTTTTGGTAAAGACAGAGTCTCACTCTTGTTCAGGCTGATCTTTAATACCTGATCTTAAGTGAACCTCCCAGAGTACTAGGATTACAGGCATAAACCGCTGTGCCTGGCCAGCTATTTTACTTTTTTTTTTTTTTTTTTTTTCTGAGACAGAGCCTCAAGCTATCCCCCTGGGTAGAGTGCCATGGCATCACGATCACAGCAACCTCCAACTCCTGGGCTCAAGTGAGTCTCCTGCCTCAGCCTCCCAAGTAGCTGGGACTACAGGCGCCCGCCACAGTGCCTGGCCATTTTTTGGCTGCAGCCATCATTGTTGTTTGGCAGGCCCGTGCTGGGGATTCAAACCCGCCACCTTAGTTGTATGTGGCTGGCGCCTTAGCCACTTGAGCCACAGGCACCGAGCCTATTTTACTTTTTTAACGAAAGTGTTTCACAGTTATTTTTTTGTTTGATTTTTTAACTTTTGTTAAAGGCTGGACATGGTGCCTGCCTATAATCCTAGTACTCTGGAAGGCTGAGGCAGGTGGATTGCTAGAGTTCAGGAGTTCAAGACCAGCTTCAGCAAAAGTGAGATCCCAGCTCTACTAAAAATAGAAAAATTAGCCAGGCATTGTGGCAGGCACAAGTAGTCTGAGCTACTTGGGACCCTGAGGTTTCTGTGAGCTACAATGATGCCAGTACCACAGAGTGAAATTCTGCCTAAGGAAAAAAAAAAAAAAAGAAAGAAATGTTATGTTAAACATCATTTAGTTAGTTAGCACACCCAGAATGAAAACTATGGATTTCTGGCTCAGTGGTTAGGGCGCCGGCAACATACCCCGGAGCTGGTGGGTTCAAATCCAGCCCAGGCCTGCCAAACAACAATGACAACTGTGATAAAAAAATAGCTGGGTGTTGTGGAGGGACCCGCAGTCCCAGCTACTTGGGAGGCTGAGGCAAGAGAGTAACTTAAGCCCAGAGTTTGAGGCTGCTGTGAGCTGTGACACCATAGCACTCTACCAAGGGTAACACAGTGAGACTCTGTCTCAAAAAAAAAAAAAAAAGAAAAGAAAAAAAGAAAACTACAGATTTTAATGTTTTTGCATCTTTTATCAATATCAGTGTGCTTTCTCTAACTAAATTATAAAGCCTTTCAAGGTTTCAAGGTAACATCTAATCATATACAATATCTTATTTACCCAGCATTATCAAAAAATAAAATATTCTACAAAAGGAAAATTTTCTGAACTAAACTGCTTATTGCCCCTAAGTTGTTTGCTTTACTCATTTTTATGAGATCTACTAAAATGGATTATATATTTCCTGCCATCTTACACATTATTTAAAAAGTGGTTAACCTTTTCTTGAATCCTCTCAATTTACCTTGTACACTGTAGTTGGGGTAGTATACTGTGTAATACAGCGATTCCCTTAGAAGTAATGGAGGCATTCTTCTTTGTTTACCTGTGTAATTACCAGTTCTCTCCCCTAGGTTTTAAAATTTAAATATCTCTGTGTAATTTTTTTCTCTTTTCTTCCCATCAGTGTCTTCTTACTATCAAAGCACCTTCTTCTAGGAGTCCTTTCTCCTTCCCCCTCAATTTGTTCCTTATAATCTGTTTTCAAAGTAATACTAATCCTAGTGAACTGTATATAAATTTTTTTTTAAAAGGATACTATCTTAAATACAAAATTTCTCTAACAGTAAAACGACTTCAAGTGAGTCAAAATATCTGAGAAGGTATTTTTGCTTATTTCCAGGTTCCTGAAAAAGGGAACTTTGAGAACTAAAGTAGTTATGTTCCATTGTACCAAATATGTTGTTGATTATTGCAGTAATTCAGTAACACTGTCTAATAAGTGAGGTAGTGGTGAGATAGAAAAAAAATATTGAAACACAAGGAATATACTAATTTGTTGCCATACTATGCTTTTATATATGCATTCTAAAAATCTCTAGTCTATTTTTATAAAAAAAATGTGGGCCAAAAAATGCTATTTCAGGCTCAGTGCATACAGCACAGTGATTATGGCACCAGCCACACACACTGAGGCTAGTGGGTTCAAACCCGGTGGGGCCATCTAAAGCAACAGTGACAACTGCAACAACTACAACAAAAATAGCCAGGTGTTATGGCAGGTGCCTGTAGTCCCATCTACTTGGAAGGCTGAGGCAAGAGAATCACTTGAGCCCAAGAGTTGGAGGTTGCTGTGAGTTGTGACGCCACAGCACTCTACTGAGGGTAACAAAGTGAGACTCTGTCTCAGAAATAAAAAAATGCTAGGCGAGGCACGGTGGCTCACACCTGTAATCCTAGCACTCTGGAAGGCCAAGGTGGGTGGATTACTTGAGCTCACAGGTTTGAGACCAGCCTAAGCGAGACTGTCTCTAAAACAGCCAGGCATTGTGGCGGGTGCCTATAGTCCCAGCCTTGTGGGAGGCTGAGGCAAGAGAATCACTTGAGCCCAAGAGTTGGAGGTTGCTGTGAGTTGTGACGCCACAGCACTCTACCGAGGATAACAAAGTGAGACTCTGTCTCAGAAAAAAAAAAAAAAAATGCTAGGCGAGGCACAGTGGCTCACACCTGTAATGAGCAATGACATTATAGCACTCTACTGAGGGCGACAAAGTGAGGTTCTGTCGCAAAAAAAAAAGAAAATCCTATTTCACTAAACTGAAATTTTTGAAACACCATTAATAAAAGTAAAGGAAATACTTAATTTACCTGAAGACCAGATCTTTAGCATCTTATCCCAGGAGCCACTGCAAAACTAAACAGATGTGTAGATGTGAAGGGAAAAAGCATATGCAATAAAATTTATCTTATTTACCTCACTTTTTTCCTATTCAACTTAAAAATGTTTACTTTGCTTTGCTTAATCTCTGTGGTTCATATGCTCTGAAATACTTTACTACTCTCTGCCTGAGTTCCTAGTCCCCTGGAAGTAGTACCATCAACCCACATGGCAATCAAGGGAGCTGCCATTCTTATGTGGTGTTGTGCCCTGGCCATGGTTGCTTAGGTAAGTCAGTAGCCCACCCTATACTAGGTCTCTTCCTCATTTAGATCTTTTCAAAGAACTTGTATTCCAAAGAGTTGTAAGTTAGTCCAGGGACAGATAAAATAGGATATAAAACCTGGGAAATACTGAAGGCCAGGTTTATTGTCACATGGAGAGAAAGCCAGTCTGAGATGAGAATAAAATCAACTTGAGAGACAAGAAAGAGATAAAGTGCACTGGCCACATTTAAGCCTCTATTCCACTGGTTCTTGAGTCCCCAACGAATCACCACCCTTCTTGTGATGTGATTGCTCACTCTTTCCTTAGATCTTATAATACAATAAATTTTCTTTTAAGCTTAAAGCTCAAGGTTGAGTTTCTCTCTTATATCCAAGGGACAGGGTACAATTAATTCACTTAGGTTTGGACTTAGTAACATGTAAACCTTTATGGCTCAATATGAAAAATCATTAAATCTTTAACTTTGAATACATAAAACATCCTATTACTCTAAGCAAATTCGGTTACTGTTGAGGTAACACTTTTAAGACTGGAATATTTCACTGTGGCATAGGAAACTTTCAAATTGTAAGTAGGTTTGCAATCCCTCATAAATTAATATAGTATTGCCTTCAGTTTGTTTCCTTTCCATAACTTTTACCATTTTGTCATGATAAAAAGTAGATGAGCACTGATACTAAGACAAATTATGTTAACACTAACCTTAGTGTATGCTAAGGCTCAGATGATCAACTAGATATTTTAAATTGGTGACAGCACATAAGAGTAGCTGACGTATGCTTTTTGGGCACATTTCTTAAAATTCTACAGTTTATAGAAGATTCTAAACTAGAGAAGTAAATCTTTATATCTCTCATCGTATGCATATTTACTTTTGTTTGAAATACTCTTTAGTCACTGACTGTTATGAAAGTAGACCAGTCACAACAAACATATGTAGAAAGAAAAATGTTTAATACAAAGCTCACAATCTAATTTAACACAGCACTAATAATACACTAGATACTTACTTTAGTTCCTGAGCTATCAACAGCTATAGACTCCACACTTCCAGCATGACCTCTGCAGCAGTGTAGGGCTTTTACTTTGTTTCTCTCTACATTCCACTCCCATAAAAGAATAGTCTGATCCATAGAGGCACTCAATAATAAGCAAGACAAATTGTCTGAAGGAAGGAGAACATAAGAATAAGAATCAAATCAGGGCAAAATTTTAGATGCATCATGTTCTGAAACTGAAGAACTAAAATTTTAGCCAGCCTTTAAAAAGAAAGCCAACACAGTATAATGGGGAAAGTCTTCAAAAACAGGACATTAGTTTAACATACTCAACATTAACTTGAAAATGTGCATCATCTATAATCTCAATTAAGACTCCCACCAATTTATGAATTTTTTATATAATCCTTTTCTTCTTGAGTACTATATATACAAGGTGGACATAAAGTTTGCATGCAGTTTAAAATAGTTTAACATACTAAATCACACATGAATTTTATGTCCACTCTGTAGCACTGGTAGAATGCTGTGGCATCATAACTCACAGCAACCTCCAATGCCTGGGCTCTAGTGATCCTCTTACCTCAGCCTCCCGAGTAGCTGGGACTATAGGCACCCAATCACAATGCCCATATACTTTTTTTTCTTTCTATTTTTAGTAGAGATAGAGTTTTGCTCTTGCTCAGGCTGGTCTTGAACTCCTGAGCTCAAGCAATCCACCTGCATCTGCCTCCCAGCATGCCAGGATTACAGCCATGAACCACTTTCCTCAACTGAACACTATACTTTTTTTTTTTTTTTTTTGAGACAGAGTCTCACTATGTCACCTTTGGTAGAGTGCAATGGTGCCACAGCTCACAGCAACCTCAAACTCTTGGGCTTAAGTGATTCTCTTGCCTCAGTCTCCCAAGTAGCTAGGACTACAGGCACCTCCAACAATGCCCAGCTATTCTTTTTGTTGTTGCAGTCGTCATTGTTGTTTAGCAGGCCTGGGCCAGGCTCAAAGCCGCCAGTCTTGGTGTACGTACGTGGCCAGTGCCTTATTCACTAAGCTATGAGCACTGAGCCTGAACATTGTACTTTTTAAAGATGTCACAGTAACTGAGGCATGAGATACTTCCTACCCACTCCCCGATTCTGCCCCAGCACTAAAAAGGCTTATTTCCAAATCCCTGCCTAGGATTCCTCTCAGTTTAGGCAGAGTACTAACCTTTTTTCACCCAGGCCACATCTTTTACAACATCTGTATGTCCCACAATTGTCATTATTGACTTTCCTTCCAAGGACCAGATCTGAGAAGTCTTATCATAAGAACCAGTCAAGATCCTATAAGATAAAAAAAAAATCCTATAAAATACAAAAGCAACTTTTCCAAACCCTGAAAATCAACTGTGCTTCTATGGCAATGACAAAGTAAACCTTGAGGATTACACTTTTTTCTTTTTGAGACAGAGTCTCAAGCTGTCACCTTGGGCAGTGTGTGGTGGTGTCACAGCTTACAGCAACCTCCAAATCTTGGGCTCATGCAATCTTCTTGCCTCAGTTTTTCTATTTTTAGCAGAGACATCTCAGTTTTGCTCAGGCTGGTCTCAAACTTGTCAGCTCAACCAGTCCACCTACCTGCCTTAGCTTCCCAGAGTGCTAGGATTACAGGCATGAGCTACTGTGCCCAGCCAGGACCATTTTTAAATTCTTCTTTAATATGAAGATGAAGATCTCAAAACAGAATAGATCAGTTGGTACACTTGACTTTTCTTGACCTCCTAAAAATAATAACTGACAGACCCTAGATTTCATTCTTATTATTTTTATAAATAACACGACTCTCAGGGAAAGCTATACAAATTGCTTGTAAAGCCTAATACAGGGTGATCATCCCCAATCCAAAATTCTCCAAAATTTTTTTCTTTCTTCCCTTTTTCTTCTTGAGACAGAGCCTCAAGCCGTCCCCCTGGGTAGAATGTCGTGGCATCCCAGCTCACAGCAACCTCCAACTCCTGGGCTCAAAAGAGTCTCCTGCCTCAGCCTCTCAAGTAGCTGGGACCACAGGCGCTGGCAGGGAGT